AAAAAATCTCATTTTGTCTGTCATAGTTGACGTGTACCTATGATGAAAATTACAGGCCTCTCTCATCTTTTTAAGTGGGAGAACTTGCACAATTGGTGGCTGACTAAATACATTTTTTCCCCACTGTATGTACTTTACCGGTGTGCGTAAAGTTCGCTTGCCTGCCAGGTTGTATGTAGCCGTGTTTGGCTTGTTCTTTTTGTCTTCACTAAAGACGTCAGTACGAAGCCTCTGTGTGTCCTGCGCTTGATTCCACACCACTTCTACACTCAACTGTGACAGAATTACACACCATTACTATGGAATCAGCAGGAGCAGCCGCACCTACCGAGATTATTGAGGAGCGCCATCGTGGACAGGAGGACAGGATCAACCAGATTCGGATAGGGTGATGAACACCCTCCATCGATGGGAGGCCAGCGGGGTACCCACGCCCCCACCTACCACACCATCACCATCGGTCAGTCCACCTGTCCAACTTCCGGAACCCAGTGGGATTCGGCTCTCGCTCCCGAGGGCGTACGACGGCACCGCGGCCGGGTGTCAGGGTTTCCTGTTGCAAATCGAACTCTACCTCGCCACCGTACACCCGGTGCCCTCGGGACACGAGAGCGTTTCCGCCCTCATCTCCTGTCTCACCGGCAAGGCGTTTGAGTGGGCCAACGCCGAATGGAGGAGGATAGACGCCGCAACGATCACCTATGCGGAGTTCTCCCGCCGCTTCCGGGCAGTGTTCGACCATCCACCTGAGGGGAAGGCGGCGGGGGAGCGTCTATTCTACCTCCGGCAGGGGATGAGGAGCGCTCAAGAGTTTGCACTGGAGTTCCGGACTCTAGCGGCAGATGCAGGGTGGAATGAGCGGGCCCTCATAGATCACTTCCGCTGCAGCTGCAGGGAGGACGTCCGTAGAGAGTTGGCGTGCAGGGACACCACTCTTTCGTTTGACCAATTGGTTGACATGGCCATTCGGCTAGACACCCTGCTCGCCACCCGCGGACGTCCTGGGTGGGGGTCGCCCATTCCACCCTCCAGCACCTCCGAGCCGAGTCCTATGGAGGTCGGGGGTGCTGGCGCTAGAGAACGGAGGAGAAGGAGCCCGAGGGGGGCCGTCCCCTGCACCAACTGTGGCCGTGGAGGGCACACCGCGGCTAGGTGCTGGGGAGGGTCCCTGGAGGAAGAGACAGCAGGCCACACATTGGGGAGTCCTCCCAGGTGAGTAGGCGCCCCACTTACCCAGAGCTTTCTGTCGTGCACATAACCATACCTGTTTGTTTTCCACAGGTTGCACCTCGTTCCCAGCATAAGGCGCTAGTAGATTCAGGCGCAGCTGGGAATTTTGTAGATCGTAAATTTTGTATAGAGTTAGGGATCCCTCTCCTACCGGTTAATAATCCCTTCCCTGTACATGCCCTAGATAGCCGTCCGTTAGGATCCGGGTTGATCAGGGAGGTCACAGTGCCACTTAGTATGGAGACGCAGGGGGGTCATGAGGAGACGATTCAGCTATACCTGATTGACTCTCCTGCGTATCCGGTGGTGCTGGGGCTTCCCTGGTTGATTACTCACGATCCTACCATTTCGTGGCGAGAGAAGGCTCTTAAGGGGTGGTCTGCCCAGTGTGTGGGGCTATGTCTGGGTGTTTCCGTAGGGACGACCTCGGTGGAGAGTCCAAACCAAATGCCCGCAATGCATGTTCCCCCCCGAGTATGAGGATTTAGCACTCGTGTTTAGCAAGGCGAGGGCGGCGCGATTGCCACCTCATAGACGGGGGGATTGTGCGATAGACCTCCAGGCAGGAGCTGCGCTCCCACGGAGCCATGTGTATCCTTTGTCACAAGAGGAGAAGAGGGCAATGGAGACATACATTGCTGAGTCTCTGAGACAGGGATACATACGGCCCTCCACTTCCCCTGCGTCCTCGAGCTTATTTTTTGTGAAGAAAAAAGATGGAGGTTTGCGCCCGTGTATCGATTACCGCGGTCTCAATCAGATTACGGTGAAATATAGTTATCCACTCCCTCTGATTGCGACTATGACGGAGTCATTACACGGGGCACGGTTCTTCACAAAATTGGACCTCAAGAGCGCATACAACTTGGTGCGCATTAGAGAGGGCGATGAATGGAAGACAGCATTTAGTACTACCTCGGGTCATTACGAGTATCTCGTCATGCCATACGGGTTAATGAATGCTCCATCAGTCTTCCAATCCTTTGTGGATGAGATCTTCCGGGACATGCAGGGGCAGGGAGTGGTCGTGTACATAGACGATATTCTAGTGTACAGTTCTACCCGAGCCGAGCATGTAGCCCTGGTGCGCCGAGTGTTGAGGAGGCTGTTGGAGCATGACCTGTATGTCAAGGCAGAGAAATGTCTGTTCTTCCAGGAATCGGTCTCCTTTTTGGGTTATCAGTTGTCCGCGTCAGGGGTGAAGATGGAGGTTGACCGTGTGTCAGCCGTGCGTAATTGGCAAACCCCAACCACAGTGAAAGAGGTGCAGCAGTTCTTGGGCTTTGCGAATTACTACTGGAGGTTTATCCGGGGTTTTGGACAGGTGGCAGCTCCCATAACGTCCCTTCTGAAGGGGGGTCCGGTGCGCTTGCGGTGGTCAGCTGAGGCGAACAGGGCTTTTGGGAGACTGAAGGACCTGTTTACTTCGGCTCCGGTGCTGGCGCATCCGGATCCCGCTTTACCATTCCAAGTGGAGGTGGACGCGTCAGAAGCCGGTATCGGGGCCGTTCTCTCGCAACGGTCCGGCACACCACCGAAACTCCGCCCCTGTGCTTTTTACTCGAAAAAGCTCAGTCCGGCGGAGCGAAATTATGACGTAGGGGACAGGGAGCTGTTAGCCGTGGTACAGGCCCTAAAGGTGTGGAGGCATTGGCTTGAGGGGGCTCAACACCCTTTTCTCATTTTGACTGACCACCGTAACCTGGAATACATTCGGGCAGCTAGGAGACTAAATCCTCGCCAGGCTCGGTGGACTATGTTTCTAGCCCGGTTCGTGTTTAAGATCACTTACATCCCTGGGTCCCAGAACGGGAAGGCAGACGCCCTGTCTCGGCGGTATGACACAGAGGAGAGGTCTGTTGAGCCCACTCCCATACTACCTAAGTCTTGTCTGGTGGCACCGGTGGTGTGGGAGGTCGATACGGAGATCGAGCGGGCGTTACGCACCGACCCTAGCCCTCCACAGTGTCCGGTGGGTCGGACGTACGTCCCGCTCGAGGTCCGGGATCGACTCATTTATTGGGCTCACACGTCACCCTCCTCTGGGCATCCAGGTATTGGCCGGACAGTGCACTGCCTTAGCACAAAGTACTGGTGGCCAACGTTAGCCAGGGATGTGAGGATTTATGTCTCCTCCTGCTCGGTGTGTGCCCAGTGTAAGGCGCCCAGACACTTGCCCAGGGGTAAGCTACAACCCCTGCCTGTTCCACAACGACCCTGGTCTCACCTCTCGGTGGATTTTGTTACAGACCTTCCCCCCTCACAGGGGAATACCACCATCCTGGTCGTTGTGGATCGGTTCTCGAAGGCCTGTCGTCTCCTTCCCATGCCGGGTCTTCCTACTGCCCTACAGACCGCTGAGGCTCTATTCACCCACGTCTTCCGGCATTACGGGGTACCCGAGGATATAGTGTCTGATCGAGGCCCCCAGTTTACCTCCAGAGTCTGGAGAGCGTTTATGGAGCGTTTGGGAGTTTCGGTGAGCCTTACCTCGGGTTACCACCCGGAGAGTAATGGGCAGGTCGAACGTGTCAACCAGGATGTGGGTAGGTTTCTGAGGTCGTATTGCCAGGGCCGGCCGGAGGAGTGGGCGAGGTATGTTCCCTGGGCCGAGATGGTACAGAACTCTCTCCGCCACTCCTCCACTAAACTAACTCCTTTCCAGTGTGTGTTAGCCCCTGCGGTGGATGAGTGGGTGCGGCGCTCGGAGGAGACGTGGAACGCTGCACACATCCATCTGCAGCGAGCCATCCGTCGACATAAGACGAGCGCCGATCTCCACCGCAGTGAGGGGCCAGTGTACGCACCTGGAGATCGAGTCTGGCTCTCGACCAGAAACCTGCCCCTCCGCCTGCCCTGCCGGAAGCTGGGTCGGCGGTTTGTGGGGCCTTTTAAAGTCCTGAGGAGATTGAACGAGGTGTGTTACAGGTTACAACTGCCAATTGATTACAAGAATATTAACCCCTCGTTCCATGTGTCTCTCCTCAGGTCGGAGGTAGCTGGTCCACTCCAGGACTATGAGATAGAAGAGACTCCTCCGCCCCCGCTGGACATCGAGGGGGCTCCGGCGTACACTGTTCGGTCCATCCTAGATTCGAGACGCCGGATGGGGGGTCTCCAATATCTCGTGGAGTGGGAGGGGTACGGCCCGGAGGAGCGGTGCTGGGTGCAGAGGAGGGACATCCTAGACCCGTCTCTTCTGACCGAGTTCCATCGTGGTCATCCTACGCGCCCTGCTCCGCGTCTTCCTGGTCGTCCTCGAGGCCGGGGTCGGCGCACGGCTGGGGCCGCGCGTCAAGGGGGGGTACTGTCACGGTTTCGGCCGAGGCTGCTCCTTCTCCTTGTTCGGGCAGGCTTCGGCGGTTGTCGTCTCCGGAGTACTAGCTGCCACCGTTCTATGTTTCGATGTTTGATTGGTTTTGTCTGTTTTGTTACACCTGTCCCTTGTTAGTGTTCATTATGCGTCCTATAAGTTCTCTTGAGTTTTGTCATGTGTTGTGTGTAATTGTTCGTTGTCACTGTGGTATGCTAGTTTGTTTTTGTCTCTCTGTTCGGTGTAGTAGAGAGCTCCGCACCTCTGTGTGTCCTGCGCTTGATTCCACACCACTTCTACACTCAACTGTGACAATGTGCAGGTGTGAGTGCAAGAAAGACAAGCACTTTTTTCCACCCTGCTGTCCACGGTAACATGACGCAAATGGCCATCTACTAAATAATTTAACTTTTACAATCTGGTTTGGGATCCGGTCTAGACTGAGGTGACCTACCTTCTCATCCAGCATGTCGGGGTGCTCGGTCAGCCACACACACAGACACTGGAAGGCCGCTACGATCATGGAGTGGAGGTCTCTGGAGTGAAGGGGGGCCGGCCGGCTGCATTGGTACACGATGTAACTACACACTGAGGTGACGGCACGCTTACGGTCCGCAGAGTCCACACATGCCTTCACCTGAGGACACAAAGCCAGAAACACACTTTAGATATGCATTGGTTGGGTGGATGCTTAGCCTTAATACACTCCTTTTCAATGCATTATCTTTTTATTAGGGGTTATCCCTTGCAGAAGAGTGTTTTACAGCTGGGTGGAAGTTGAGTAGTGGCTGGGTCTGGTGTGGTGGACTGGTGTTAGGTCTCAGCGTGTGCAGTGGTGATAACAATATAATGGATTTATATGTAGTGAAGTTAGGGCCAGTGTATGTTAAGTCATGTTAGAGCTTGGATGTCTTTGGGTACTTAGGTTAGGGATGGGGTGGGAAAGGAAAGGGGGATACCTAGGTGGTATAGTGAAGTTGGAGTATATTGAAGTTCAGTATACTCCAACTACATCTCGAAGTAAGGTCTAGCATGTGTTAGGATAGTGTACAGTAGTTAGGTATAGTTTAGTGTAGTTAGGTCTAGTTTAGTGTAGTTAGGTCTAGTTTAGTGTAGTTTGGTACAATTTAGTGAAGTTAGGTCTAGTTAGGGTTGGTTTTGTTTTATTATTATTTTATTACCTCCCTTTTTCTCCCCAATTTAGTCATATCCAATTACGATCTTGTCTCATCGCTGCAACTCCCCAACGGGCTCGGGAGAGGCGAAGGTCGAGTCATGCATCCTCCGAAACACGACCTGCCAAACTGCACTCCTTAACACCCGCCCACTTAATCCGGAAGCCAGCCACACCAATGTGTCGGAGGAAACACCGTTCAACTGATGACCGAAGTCAGTGTGAAGGTGTACAGCCCGCCACAAGGAGTCGCTAGAGCGCAATGAGCCAAGTAAAGCCCCCCCAGCCAAACCCTCCCCTAACCCGGACGACGCTGGGCCAATTGTGCGCCGCCCTATGGGACTCCCGGTCACGGGCGGTTGTGACACAGCCTGGGATCGAACCCGGGTCTGTAGTGACGCCTCAAGCATGCGATGCAGTGCCTTAGAACGCTGTGCCACTCGGGAGGCTAGTTAGGTATAGCTTAGTGTAGTTACAGTGAGGGAAAAAAGTATTTGATCCCCTGCTGATTTTGTACATTTGCCCACTGACGAAGACATGATCAGTCTATAATTTTAATGGTAGGTTTATTTGAACAGTGAGAGACAGAATAATAACAAAATCCAGAAAAACGCATGTCAAAAATTTTTATAAATTGATTTGCATTTTAATGAGGGAAATAAGTATTTGACCCCTCTGCAAAACAGTACTTGGTGGAAAAACCCTTGTTGGCAATCACAGAGGTCAGACGTTTCTTGTAGTTGGCCACCAGGTTTGCACACATCAACTTTGCAGATCTTCATTAAGGTCACAAGTCATTAAGGTTTCGAGGCTGACGTTTGGCAACTCGAACCTTCAGCTCCCTCCACAGATTTTCTATGGGATTAAGGTCTGGAGACTGGCTAGGCCACTCCAGGACCTTAATGTGCTTCTTCTTGAGCCACTCCTTTGTTGCCTTGGCTATGTGTTTTGGGTCATTGTCATGCTGGAATACCCATCCACGACCCATTTTCAATGCCCTGGCTGAGGGAAGGAGGTTCTCACCCAAGATATGACGGTACATGGCCCCGTCCATCGTCCATTTGATGCGGTGAAGTTGTCCTGTCCCCTTAGCAGAAAAACACCCCCAAAGCATAATGTTTCCACCTCCATGTTTGACGGTGGGGATGGTGTTCTTGGGGTCATAGGCAGCATTCCTCCTCCTCCAAACACGGCGAGTTGAGTTGATGCCAAAGAGCTCCATTTTGGTCTCAGCTGACCACAACACTTTCATCCAGTTCTCCTCTGAATCATTCAGATGTTCATTGGCAAACTTCAGACGGGCCTGTATATGTGCTTACTTGAGCAGGGGGACCTTGCGGGCGCTGCAGGATTACAGTCCTTCACGGCGTAGTGTGTTACCAATTGTTTTCTTGGTGACTATGGTCCCAGCTGCCTTGAGATCATTGACAAGATCCTCCCGTGTAGTTCTGGGCTGATTCCTCACCGTTCTCATGATCATTGCAACTCCACGAGGTGAGATCTTGCATGGAGCCCCAGGCCGAGGGAGATTGACAGTTATTTTGTGTTTCTTCCATTTGCGAATAATCGCACCAACTGTTGTCACCTTCTCACCAAGCTGCTTGGCGATGGTCTTGTAGCCCATTCCAGCCTTGTGTAGGTCTACAATCTTGTCCCTGACATCCTTGGAGAGCTCTTTGGTCTTGGCCATGGTGGAGAGTTTGGAATCTGATTGATTGATTGCTTCTGTGGACAGGTGTCTTTTATACAGGTAACAAGCTGAGATTAGGAGCACTCCCTTTAAGAGTGTGCTCCTAATCTTAGCTCGTTACCTGTATAAAAGACACCTGGGAGCCAGAAATCTTTCTGATTGAGAGGGGGTCAAATACTTATTTCCCTCATTATAATGCAAATCAATTTATAACATTTTTTACATGCGTTTTTCTGGATTTTTTTGTTTGTTATTCTGTCTCTCACTGTTCAAATAAACCTACCATTAAAATTATAGACTGATCATTTCTTTGTCAGTGGGCAAACGTACAAAATCAGCAGGGGATCAAATACTTTTCCCCCCACACTGTAGGTCTAGTTAGGTCTAGCATGCGGTGTTGTGGTGTAGTGTAGTCACCTTGGCCAGGCCCGCCAGCAGCTCCAGGGCGGCCAGTGAGATGCTCATGTCGGACCTCCACTGAGAGTTGAGCCTCTGGGTGACCAGGTGTATGCTGCGGACCAGGAGGCCCGCCGCAGTATCTGTAAAAGTGAAAGGATGTAAACTCCGAAACACCACCACCAAAACACCACCACCAAAACACCACCACCACAGATGGACCACCCCATTACACATTATCTGAATAATGACCTCAATAAGATCTGATCATGTGGCAGCCTTCCATAACACAGCACACAGAAGTAAAAATACACTAATCATGTGAAATATCAGATGCAGTGTGAAACCGGAAGTAAGTGTTAAACTCAACAGGTGAAAACAGAATTCACACAGTAGGAAAAAAGAAATGGCTTTTTAAGAGTCGTATATAAAATATAGTGTTGAGGGATAGTCTTTTCCAGTTCAAGACCAGTAGCACAGCATCACAGCAAATAAGTGTAGTGCTTGCATCACATACAGATAATTTTTACCCAGCGCTTTTTAACTCTGTATATCACTTTCACCACGTTGGCTATGAAAAATACAGTGTTAATTGAGACAGTTGCATTTCTAGAACATTGACCAGGTGTCAGTACTTGTGAATGGAAACAGCAACAACATTCAACATCTAAGTGAAATGAATAGGCTAAATAAAATGATTGTAGTAATGGCTATCGTGCTAAACACAATATAACACGCCTAGTCTGACTTTAAACGCAGCCTGCGTGTGAAAATGGCTATTGGTTACAATCGGTTATCATAGTAATAGTAGATATAGCAATTGTGTTTTCGCTAGCTAGTTAGCATATAGTAAGTCCTTATTGTAGTCTGTGTGACGTGGCTACAATCAGATATCATAGTAAAGGTTATCGTACTAACGCTAGCTAGTTATAATTTAATGGACTAGCTTTACCGTAGTCCCGGAGTAGCGCCTGAGCTGGGCGCTCTGAGTCTGGGCTGGTGGCCTCAGTGCCAGTGCTGCCCCCGCTAGTAAAGCTGATGCTACTGCTGGTGCGGCTGTGGCCCCTCAGCCCCGCGTGGCTCCCATCCACACTGCCCTGGTACCATACAAACACAGGGAGACAGAGAGCGTTAGCAAAGCCTCCAAATTCAACTCCATTGAATCACATTGATCAATTTGTTTATTTGAGTCAATGACGGTAGTTAGGTTTATATCAACACCGACAGAAATCATAGAGGTCTTACCGTTTCAGTTTGTGCACCTATGGACTCCAACAGTGCAGAGTCTTGAACAATGTTAAGCATTGCACCTGAAAGGATGAAAAATTCTAGATTTAATACATGTAAGGGACAAAAAAGACAGAGAGCAAGAGAGAGCGAGAGAGGAAGAGAGCGAGAGAGGAAGAGAGAGAACGGTAGTGAGTGGTAGACCTAGGATGAGCTGGGTGTTGTTGGGGTCTGTCTCTGTCTGCAGGGCTCCGATGAGGACGTTGACCAGACGCAGTCTCAGGGACAGGAAGGAAACGGACTGGTCGTGGGGTGCCCCATCATCATCACTGAACTTCCCCTCCAGAAGAACCTACACATCAATCAAATCAGTCAATCAATCGATCGCCCTACCCACAACACAGAATCAAGCCACATTAACTACATCAACTTAAGTTAACAGAACTCTTAACTTTAATTAAAATGCCTGGTGTCCACCACATCACTCTTATCAAGGTGTAGGGCTCCCACTGCATTGGGAAATAATATATTAAAAAGCATGTTTACTAGACTAGATGATGTAATGTAGTCACCAGACGCTGTTAAAAAAAGCCAAGGTTGCAACAATGCAACATTTTCCATACCTCGGATTTGATGTTGCCAAAGTGGTGTGGGAGAGGCAGCATGGCCAGTAGGATATGGATAGAAGCTCTCCTCAGGTCAGTGGGGTTCACGTACAGCTTGAACTTAGACAGTTCCCTGTAGCAGAGGGCAGTACCCTAGAATTAGAATTTCTAGAGTATAGAAATGATCTGAATTGTATTGCTATGGTTTTTTATGGTTGCTCAAGTATTTTCCATCAATGGCATTAGCTAACAGATATTATTAGCCCCTGGACAACTTCCATTGCATTCAGATGATCACAGTAAATCACCAGAATGGTCTGGTTTTTGTTCACTGTACCACAATCATTAAACAGCTAAATTCTTTATTCTTGTGTGATTTATTTTTATTTTTAATCTGATTTAGCTAGTATTACTGAATTTTTTTTGAAAAAGCGTGCAAGTAAGCATTTCTCTGTAATGTTTACACTTGCTGTATGCTGTTCACGTGACAAATAAACTTTGATTTGATTTAAAATATACTATTGGGTCTTTTTCAATAGTGTCCATTTTCAACATCGAGCCTTGTTCATGTTTGGTGGTTTTAGAGGATTGTACATAATATATATTTTGTATTGTCACCTGTCTGGCAGAATGGTCTCCAGAGCTGAGATGAAGTAGGGGACCACCACGTTGACGCCCTTCAGGTCGGAGCAGAACAGAGAGGAGGAGTTGAGGATGATGCTGGAAAGCACGGGCCTGCAGATGAAGTCAGAGATCTGGAGGCCCTGGATCAGAACCATGTAGAACCTGCGAGGGAAAAGACAGCCGTTTCTTCAGATCAAAATAGGAATCATAGCGATTGAACTTGCAGCGGGTCAAAATATTAATTCAGGTAGCTTTATGCGGAACCTGACAGATTCAAGATTAACACAAATAGCAAAAAATTGAAGGCGAACACAAATAGCGAATAATTGAAGGCGAACACAAATGCAGAGTTAAGATACCTCCACACGTAGGCCCACATACAGCAGCGCTGCAGACTTACAGCCACCGTTAGCATGCTAGCACGCTAGGATGAAACTGCCGTCTTACCTGGACAGGTAGACTGGGAGAATGTCCTCTCCAGTCTTCTTGCTGCAGAAGATGCGGCAGAGGGTGCCGCAGGCCTCGGCACGGCCCGCCTCGTAGCTCTCTGGGAACTCGTTGGTGTCGAACATGGGGTTGGACACCATGGAGTCGGTGGACATCTGGGATCCCTTCCTTCTCAGCTCCAGACCCACCTGAGTGGCTATGGCTGTGGAGGTGACAGAAGGAGACACATGAGTGAAAGAAGCCCGGAATGGGACAGGTGACAATCCTCACACATGCACGCCTGAAAACAGATAAAAACACACAAATAGAAACAGAGACATAAACACACTGAAAACACACTGAAAAGTAACCAGACACACATACACATTAAAAGTATACAAACTGAGGTAAATACTGTACACACAAACTGTACAAACACACTAAGCAGAAACAAAATAAGACAAGGACTAAAAACCTAAGTGGCTTCAAACGCACAGACTCACACAAATATTTACACATACGTCCGTAAATCAGCAGGCGCACAAAAAGGGCCTTCTGACACAGAGTTTGCCATAACAAGTGTTGTCTTTATCATGGGCTAAGTGAATGGAATTGAGGTTTGAAAGTTTTAGGTGAACATATTTTCCCAAGACAAGTTGCAAGAAGACGTCGGCGCAAAATCTCTGTGTCAGCTCAGCTCCCTTGTACTTGCATTATGATGATGTCACTCAAGGTACAGACATTTACTTCATGCATTGAGGCACCAAACCAAAAGTCAATAAAGTTATAAGTGAACTGACAACACAAGGGGAAACCATAAGAGAACAATGCGCTGAATTCAGGGCAAACCAAAAAGGGTATGTGGCACGATAAATAAAAAGTCACTGGAATATGGTGGTGTGGTCACAAACTGGCAACGCTATGTCGGGACAGTGACGAGGCTGTGTGCTCCCATTCCATTTCCAACCCGCAGAACATTGAGAGAACGTTGGCGCAACGCTCAAATGACGGTGGTGGGGGTAAAAGGTAACGATGATGGGCGATGATGACCATGGAGAAATTAAACCAAAGCAGGAGTCAAAGAACTGACTGCGAGTCAAGAGAAAAGCCGCAGCTCCTACTTACAAGATTTATAAGAAAGGAGAATTTGGATAAAAGAGGCTGCAAGATAACAGAAATAGTGGAGAGACAAATCAAAGCATATCGATATTTTCTCAATTCATTCTAAATGCATGAATTGTGTTTTTCCTCCTCAATGGATGATCTTTCACCCTGAAACTGTTGAAACATCAGACGTGGTAGACAAGAGTCAGCATGCAGGACAGACACAAACACCAAAACATGAGATAAGAGACAGTCCTGGACATTATGATCCATGATCCTTCCTTTTCTACCTTTTTATATGTGCTTAATCAGTGTTCCTCAATCCTGTTCTTGAAGAACCGCAGTATTGCAGGTCTTTCTCCCAGCTTAGTGCCATCACACCTGGGTCATATTTATTTGGCACCAAACTGAAGAAAATTGACTGAAAAAGGGAGGGACTACCTGAACTTGTCCAATAAGAAACACCCATTTTCATTTTCCGTTGCAAAACATTTTGCGACTGTGTGCCCTAATGAATACCACCCTTAATCAACTGATCTCTTCAAGCCCTTGATGAGCCGAATCAGGCATTTCCCTGCTGAGCTTATGGCTCTTCAGGAACAGGATTGAGAATCAATCCTATAATAGTGCCGTCATCTCCTACAATCATAAGGCACACGACGGAACTACACAGAGACATGCAGAAGTTCATTGTGTTCATCTGACTGTATAAATTCAATATTGTGACCACTGCAATAAAACGCTGGAGATGGGGACATTGGGTGTACTGATTGGGGAAATGCGCAAAGGCGCGTCTAGATTGAATTCTCCATTCTACAGTGTTCTGTGGAGTGGAATGTCAGTTAGACTAACTGATACCTTCTTGAAGTCAGAGCGGTTTCCACACAATGCTTTAGCAGATGTGAAAAGTAGTGAGAGAGAGGAGAGAGAAAAAACCCTGTCCTCTGACCCCAGCCCACTCCACCCAAAACACACACAAGTCCAACCCTTAACCCAACACAAAGACATGCATCCAACCCAACCTCCCCCCACCACACACACTCGCACAAATGGTAGAAGCTTGTCCATCCAGTCAGATCAGTCATTGCTTACCAGTCATGCTGGGGTCTCGGCTGAGGCCGCTGTGGAGCTTGCAGTGCACTAGCGCCGCGTCAAACAGCCACTGACCGAAGAGGTTGAGGATGCTGTTGACCTTGGGCCTGGCGGGGGCGGGCAGCGGCTGCATCTCCCAGCTGCTCTGAGTGGGGCTGGCCAGCAGGGTGGGTGACGACGACGGCTGCTGGGACACGGACACTTTGGCCGGCTGGGCTGCACTGCCCTGTATGGAGGGGGGGGGGGTTAGTATTTTTCAAATACTTTAGCGCCACTGCATTGAGCTTGCCCTGGTGCGATTGAGCCAATAGAGTAGTCCACGAAAATGCAAACCCCACCCTGTCTGGCACTCCAGGCAAGCGAGATTGAACACTCAAAGTATTTGAAAGAAAACAAATTCTGTTTGAAACCAGGTCTGCTGATGTAAGCACAGTACACAGGTCAGGATGACGTATGCACATGATTTGTAGGCTATACAGTTGACTTACAGTTAAACTCTTGCTGGCGGTTTTGGTGACCACGGTGTGCCGCTGCTTGCGGCTGTGTGGGGGCGTGGTGTTGTTGGAGGAGGGCGGGGACATGCTCAGTCTGTTGACCGGTGTGGGCGGGGCACTGTCAACCCTGGGTCGTGATATGCCTGCGGAGGAGAATGGGGTGAGTCCCAAAACAAGACACACCCAATAGTCAGAAAAACCAATGCCTGTGGCGTGTCCTGCCTCTGATAGAATGTCCTCTCTTACAGTGGTAAGAATAAGCCTCTGTTCCAATACCTTTAAAATGCCATTGATTCTTCCTTCCTTGAGGTCATTACTGATCTGTAAGTAAAGCTATTGTTTCCCCCTATTTCCTTCACTTATTCAACCTGATCAGATCAGTGATTACCTCAAGGAATGGAAGAGAAAAAAAGTGCAGGTTTTAAAAACCTGAAGGGAAACCAGAAAATTGAAAACTTCTTAAGTTAAGAGGTAAGAGAGCAACATCCCATGAGTTAACCCCATTTTTGTCCAACCACACAACCAATAGGTGTTAATAAGTAGGTTATAGAGCGATATTACTTGTGCCTGTGCTTTTTCAGGCCTCATTGACACACTTAAAACATAATACTATTAGGGGGGTATCAACTAACTTGTTATGCCCACATGCAAACAGAACAGTGCCAATGTGGCATCAGCTGTCAATGACAGCCAGTTCAACTAGTACAAGTCACATCTTTCAGCTCTTTTTTAACCCATTTCAACCATTACCATCAACTAAAACGGCCCATTTGATTGTAATAGCGAGTCCCTCAGCCCAGTTTGTCAAATGGCAAAACCTCCAGGGGACCATGACAAAACGTCCCAAGAAAGTTAAGGTGACCATGACACAATGTCCCAAGAACGTCCTAATAACTGGGGTCAATTCCATTTCAGGGAGTAAACTGAATTCCAATTACAACTTTCCTAATTGCCTTTCAATTAGGAAAAAAAAGGGGAATTGGAATTTGTTAACTTCCTGAATTGACCCCAACCCTGATTCAGACTATTGAGGTGCACCGTGTTGCACCACCACTTGACCCTGAGTGACGGAGCGCTTCTTCTCACCCAGGAAGGCGTCCACCAGGCAGCTGACCCCCCGCATAGCCCTGAAGAAGATCTGGGGAAGCTGCTTGAGGCAGGGGTGTAGCACCACCTCATGGGGAATGCCGCTCGAGTTGAGGAACTGCTCCTGGAACTTGGGCGTGGTGCTCACCAACGTCGGGTTGCTCAGATCCACGGGGTTGCTATGGAAACCACAAGGGGCAGGAGAGAGAGGTGAGGATAGACTGACACACACAGGCCTCATTCACTGACACAGACCTGTATTAGTGGGTGGGGTTGCCAATGTGCTGGGAAAAATATGTCTAGAACACTGAATGGCATTAGCCACAGTCAACATTTTTGCTAAATTATTAAATACATATTATTTTATTTTTATTGGTCCAGTTTCCTCAATGTTTCAGTCCGTTTTCTTCCATTTGGTGCATAATTAATACGACCTAATATTATGTGGCCAAGAATAAAGTAGATGAAGAAAAGAGGGCATGTAAGGACAGCACCAGGGCCTGTATCTACAAAGCGTCTCAAAGTGGGAGTGCTGATCAACCATCAGTTTGGACTTTTAGATCATGATGAATAAGATTGTGAGGACAGATCCTAGATCAGCACTCCTACTCTGAAACGCTTTGTGGATATGGGCCCAGAACTTCTCTACCTCAGCATGTGGAGGAAACGGAACCAGGTCTGGGCCACACAGTCGTTGTCCATCTCTACTGGAATCAGGTTGGCATCCTCATCAGGGACTTTAAACGGGGGGAACGAGGGGCCGTGGGTGAACCGTAACAGCCTGGGTGGAAAGACAACCCACAGACAAGACGCACAAGCAGACACACATACACAAGTTAGTATCCCATTTCCTCCTCTCTGTCATTATGTTTGAAAATTGATAATGGTACTTCCTGCAAAAATAAATAGCAGATAGTGTTTCTCTGCTCTCACAGTTCTTTTTGAACCACCTGAAAACTTCAGAGGTTAGATACAGTGGTGTAAAGTACTTAAGTTAAAATACTTTAAAGTACTACTTAAGTAGTTTTGGGGGATATCTGTACTTTACTAATTCTATTTTTGACAACTTTTACTTTACTACATTCCTAAAGAAAATCATGTACATTTTACTCCATACATTTATCCTGACACCCAGAAGTACTCATTACATTTTTTATTTTTAGCAGGAAAGGAAAATGGTCAAATTCTCACACTTATGAAGAGAACATCCGTGGTCATCTCTACTGCCTCTGATCTGGCGGACTCACTAAGCACCAATGCTTCGTTTGTAAATGATGTCTGAGTGTTGGAATGTGCCCCTGGCTGTCCGTAAAAAATTATAAAAAAATATGCTTTTGGTTTGCTTAATATAAGCAATTAGAAATTATTTATACTTTTAATTTTGATACTTAAGTATATTTTTGTAATTATATTTACTATTGATTCTTAAGTATATTTAAAACATAATACTTTTAGACTTTTACACAAGTAGTATTTTACCAGGGGACTTTCACTTTTACTTGAGTCATTTTCTTTAAGGTATCTTTACTTTTACTCAAGTATGACAATTGGGTACTTTTTCCACTGCTGGTTAGCTACATTACAGGCAAAGTACAATGCCACACAGCAGTCCAATAGTCAAATTGACTCACTGGGTATGCAAATCAAGTGACAAGCTGTCTAGGTAGTAGCTTTTAGAACAGCTACTAAGTCAACACCAGAGCACCCACACAGTAAGCCAGGAGAGTGGAAGGGGTTAAAACTGCTCAAATAATACCACTTCTGACAAGGAAGAGAAAAGAGGGCGACTGTAAAATTAAATGGAATGAATTCGGCCTATGGGTCGGTCGACAAAATGAGTCCCTTTTGGGTAGTGTAACTTGGTAAAAAAATATATATATAAACTCAGCAAAAAAAGAAACGTCCCTTTTTCAGGACCCTGTCTTTCAAAGATCATTTGAAAAAGTATAAATAACTTCACAGATCTTCATTGTAAAGGGTTTGAACACTGTTTCCCATGCTTGTTCAATGAACCATAAACAATTAATGAACATGCACCTGTGGAACTGTCGTTAAGAACCTAACAGCTTACAGACAGTAGGCAATTAAGGTCACCGTTATAAAGACTTAGGACACTAAAGAGGCCTTTCTACTTACTCTGAAAAACACCAAAAGAAAGATGCCCAGGGTCCCTGCTCATCTGCGTGAACGTGCCTTAGGCATGCTGCAAGGAGGCATGAGGACTGCAGATGTGGCCAGGGCAATAAATTGCAATGTCCGTACTGTGAGACGCCTAAGTAAGCGCTACAGGGAGACAGGATGGACAGCTGATCATCTTCGCAGTGACAGACCACGCGTAACAACACCTGCACAGTATCAGTACATCCGAACATCACACCTGCGGGACAGGTACAGGATGGCAACAACAACTGCCCGAGTTACACCAGGAACGCACACACTCTCCATCAGTGCTCAGACTGTCCGGAATAGGCTGAGAGAGGCTGGACTGAGGGCTTGTAGGCCTGTTGTAAGGCAGGTCCTCACCAGACACCACCGGCAACAACGTCGCCTATGGGCACAAACCCACCGTCGCTGGACCAGACAGGACTGGCAAAAAGCGCTCTTTACTGACGAGTCGCGGTTTTGTCTCAGCAGGGGTGATGGTCAGATTCGCGTTTATCGTCGAAGGAATGAGAGTTACACCGAGGCCTGTACTCTGGAGCGGGATCGATTTGGAGGTGGAGGGTCCGTCATGGTCTGGGGCGGTGTGTCACAGCATCATCGGACTGAGCTTGTTGTCATTGCTGGCAATCAACGCTGTGCGTTACAGGGAAGACATCCTCCTCCCTTCCTGCAGGCTCATCCTGACATTACCCTCCAGCATGACAATGCCACCAGCCATACTGCTCGTTCTGTGTGTGATTTCCTGCAAGATAGGAATGTCAGTGTTCTGCCATCGCCAGCGAAGAGCCCGGATCTCAATCCCATTGAGCACGTCTGGAACCTGTTGGATCGGAGGGTGAGGGCTAGGGCCATTCCCCCCAGAAATGTCAGGGAACTTGCAGGTGCCTTGGTGGAAGAGTGGGGTAACATCTCACAGCAAGAACTGGCAAATCTGGTCCAGTCCATGAGGAGGAGATGCACTGCAGTACTTAATGCAGCTGGTGGCCACACCAGATACTGAATGTTACTTTTGATTTTGACCCCCCCCCCCCCCCTCCCCTCCCCTCCCCCTCTCCCCTCCTTTTGTTCAGGGACACATTATTTCATTTGTTAGTCACATGTCTGTGGAACTTGTTCAGTTTATGTCTCAGTTGTTGAATCTTATGTTCACACAAATATTGACACGTTAAGTTTGCTGAAAATAAAAGCAGTTGACAGTGAGAGGACATTTCTTTTTTTGCTGAGTTTATATATTTTTTTTAACCTCATTTTTACATTCTGTCATGAAGAGCACATGCTCAATTTGTTTTTCAATCTCAAGAGGTTAAATTAAAAAAATTACTATAGTAAGTACATATTAAAGCTGCAATATCTAACTTTTTGGGCAACCCGACCAAATTAACATAGAAATGTGAGTTATAGATCTGTCATTCTCCATGAAAGCAAGTCTAAGAAGCGGTAGATATGTTCTATGTGCGCTATTTCTATGCTTCCCTTTCTGAAGTTTCACCAGCTTCAAACAGCTGAAAATATATATAGAAAATATATTACAAAGCAGTTTAAATGGTAAAATGATACTTGATTGTTTTGTCACATAAACGGAAATTAGGCAAACCTATTAGAATTGTAGCAACCAGGAAATGCCGGAAATCTTTAAGCGCCAAATAAAGTAACAGGGTTGACGAATTTTCATCTTAAATCAGCCATACATCCCCTTGTGACAGGGGGAATATAAGCTTGTTGTGTGCAACAGGGAGGGGCAATTGAATTAAACCTTCACAAAATTGTTAAAACATTTCTAGCCTGCCTACACACTGTGTACAAAACATTAAGAACACTCTGCTCTTTCCATGACAAACTGACAAGGTGAATCCAGATGAAAGCTATGATCCCTTAAGGATTTAACTTATTAAATCCACTTCAATCAGTGTAGATGAAGGGGAGGAGACAGGTTAAAGAAGGATTTTTAAGCCTTGTAACAATTGAGACAAGGACTGTGTATGTGTTCCATTCAGAGGGTGAATGGGCAAGACAAAAGATTTAAGTGTATTTGTATTTATAATGGATCCCCATCAGCTGCTGCCAAGGCAGCAGCTACTCTTCCTGGGGTCCGGCAAAAATAAGGCAGTTATACAATTTTAAAAACATTACAATACATTCATTACAAAATTGACAACACACTAAGTGCTACCAAATATCTACAACACAAAATCCATGTGTACGTGTGTGTATAGTGCATATGTTATCATGTGTGTGTATGTATGTGCCTATGTTTGTGTTGCTTCACAGTCTCTGCTGCTCCATAAGGTGTATTTTTATCTGTTTTTTAAACCTGATTCTACTGCTTGCATCTATTACCTGATGTGGAATAGAGTTCCATGTAGTCATGGCTCTATGTAGTACTGGGCGCCTCCCATAGTCTGTTCTGGACTTGGGGACTGTGAAGAGACCTCTGGTGGCATGTCTTGTGGGGTCTGCATGGGTGTCTGAGCTGTGTGCTAGTCGTTTAAACAGACAGCTTGGTGCTTTCAACATGTCAATACCTCTCACAAATACAAGTAGTGATGAAGTCAATCTCTCCTCTACTTTGAGCCAGGAGAGATTGACATACATATTATTAATGTTTGCTCTCTGTGTACATCCAAGGGCCAGCCGTGCTGCCCTGTTCTGAGCCAATAGCAATTTTCCTAAGTCCCTCTTTGTGGCACCTGACCACATGACTGAACAGTAGTCCAGGTATGACAAAACTATAGCATGTAGCATGCCTTGATGATAGTGCTGTTAAGAAGGTAGAGCAGAGCTTTATTATGGACAGACTTCTCCCCATCTTAGCTACTGCTGTATCAATATGTTTTGACCATGACAGTTTACAATCCAGGGTTACTCCAAGCAGTTTAGTCACCTCAACTTGCTCAATTCCCACTTTATTTATTACAAGATTTAGTTGAGGTTTAGGGTTTAGTGAATGATTTGTCCCAAATGCAATGCTTTTAGTTTTTGAAATATTTAGGACCAACTTATTCCTTGCCACCCATT